GCAGAATAACACAAATAGAATTTAGATGTAGTTTGGTAGCCAAGGCGATACCGATACCAATACAAAAGTATCGATTGGTATGTTTTGCGATGCATGTATCGCGATATTGCCCTTTGTGTATAATGTGTGTGTTGTGTGTGTGTGTGTGTGTGTGTGTGTGTGTGTGTGTGTGTGTGTGTGTGTGTGTGTGTGTGTGTCGGTGTGTGTGGTGTGTGTGTGTGTGTGTACAGCATATTCACCTTTTTATAATTCTTTTTTCATATTCTATTTGAACTATTCCTTAGTATATGTGCTTTCCTTCCTGCTTCGTATAAGTCAAAACTAACTTCCTACCAACGTGTCAAGTGTATAAACTCCCGCTTGCCGACTCCATTCGCGTGCATCAGCCATCTACCTTCATAACCTACAACCTCGATATCTCCGGCTTTGTTGACCTTATATGATCCTCTAATTTCAGTTATCACAGACGCTTATAACGACGGAAACATCATCGTCGAGTTACGAGCCATTCAGCGCAAGTCTTAGTATGTCGTAACTTGAGGTTTCGTCGTTTCATTGCGTCAGGGTTTCACGTCCTTTGTTATGACTGTGCATCGGAGTATAAGCATATGTCCGTGTTTGAGAGTGCGACTGTGTTTGTGTAAGGAAGAGGAGGGTGGGGGAGAGGGGGGGAATGGGGGGAGGGGAAGAGGGGGGGGAGGGGGGAGGGGAGGGGGGAGGGAGAGCGGAGGAGGGAGAGAGGGGAGGAGAGAGGATAGAGAGAGAGAGAGAGAGAGAGAGAGAGAGAGAGAGAGAGAGAGAGAGAGAGAGAGAGAGAGAGAGAGAGAGAGAGAGAGAGAGAGAGAGAGAGAGAGATAGGAGAGAGAAAAGAAGAGAGAGAGAAGAGAAAGAGAGAAGAGAGAGAGAGAGAGAGAGAGAGAGAGAGAGAGAGAGAGAGAGAGAGAGAGAGAGAGAGAGAGAGAGAGAGAGAGAGAGAGAGAGAGAGACGCTTTTCTTCGAGCGTTTTAATCTCACGGATTGCTTAATCCAGCAATCTCTATTTCGCTTCACGTATTCTCTAAAAGGCAAACACCAAGACTGAATGGACTCAGAACCATCCAATACAGGACATTAGTATCTAAAACCCGTTTTAACTCACTGGCATTAACACCCTTTACTGCTCATTTCCTGCATCCACATTGTTTTCCAGATTTCGCGTTATGCAGGCACAGAACCTACTTGCAGCTGCAGTTGCATTTTTTTTTTTCTTTTTTTTTTTTTTTTTTTTTACCGTTGCCCTATTTCCACGTGGTTACAAATGCTATAATTTCCCCGCAGGTAATTTCAGAACTACCATTTGGAACGTCAACATCTTTGGAAATGTAATTGCTATTTCTTGTCATAGGAGTTTGATTTCAGTTTCAAACAACGTGAAATGACATAACCCTCTGTTGAAAATACCGTTTTACATTTAAGGATTCCAGTTTGTTTACTTACTCTCTGCGTTCTCCACTCTTTGAAGATCAGCTAATTATTCCACCCCAGTCGTAATTACTCCTAAGGGACAGATCACCGCTAGTTGGGCAATCTCAGACTAATTAAATAACGGCCCAACAACCTTAAAATAGTAGATTTCCCTCATACGAGACATCCCAACAACAGCTGAAGGATCGAATTCCTTTTTATGGGTTCTAATGCTATTTAATTTGATCAAGTTTCCTCACAAAAGCTGAAGGATCGAACCCCTTCTATGGGTTAGAATGCTATTTAATTAGATCAAGTTTCCTGTTCTGGTTGGATGATTAATTTCGGAATTGGTGTGTCGCTATTTCATCTGTTTTGGCTCCGGGATCTACTTTCAGGCTGATCCAAACTTGAGGAATCTAATTCCATAGCTGACAAGGCGCTGTGTGGTTTCGAGTTGCCGGTTTGCCGAAATATGGATTCCTGCGTTTATACTCACATTAAGAAATGTAATAGTAAATGACTGTGACAATAATAAACAGTAACAAATGCAGTATTAACAGGAATCGTGGAAGTGCCAGTAAGAAGAAATAGGAGGACGAGGAGGAGGAGGATAAGGAGGAGTAGAAGGGGAAAAAAGAGTAGGAAAGGGAGGAGAAGGAAGAGGAAAAGGAGTAGGAAGAAAGTGAAGATGAGGAAGAGAAGGAGAAAGACGTGGAGGAGGAGAATCAGGGAGAGAGGAAGAGGAGAAGATGAGAAAAAGAAAAGCACGAAGGAAGAGGAGAAGAAGGGAGAGCAGGAGGAGAGAGAGGAGAAAAAGAAAGCTAGAAGGAGGAGGAGAAAAAAGAGGAGACAAAATAGAAGATGAAGAAAAGGGGGAGATGGAGATGTAGGTGATAGAGTAGTTGATCTACAACTACATCTACAACTCCGACCATGCAAAGAAGCGTGACTCAGAGAAGAAAAGGAACAAACTGCGACTAAACCAAACAGCTGACTAATATGATAAGGAAGGAAAATGTATCACAGAAAATGCATTTAACAATTCTCACACGGATATCCCCTTTAATTCAAGATATGAGAGTTTCTCGATAAAAAAAAACGATGGTCTGGAATAGGCCGTAAGAACATGAGAAGTTGCAGTCATTAATAATAATAATAATAATAATAATGATAATAATAATAATAATAATAGAATATTCCATTCATATAGTACTGTTGCTAAGCTTACATAAACAATGACCGTGGGGAAAACATGTCGATGTATTAACAATAAACAGACTCATTCCTTTGGACAAAAAACATGGCCACAATGGAAAAGTGTTTGTAAAAAGACGAAGGGAACCTTTAAGAATGTACTCACCTTAAGCAAGAACCCACCGTCCACAAGCAACGTTACAATACAATATTCACACAATATTCACCCCCGGAATCATGCACAGTCGGGTCTTCTCATCAGAAAATCTTAAGACTTCGATTAACGGATTCACAGCCTAGAGAATCCCATAGATTATTCGTTCATCCCAGCTCTTGTGAAATAGCGGGTGAATGCCCATGAGAGAGACATAATGGCATTACCACACGCATAGAAAATCACAATTCTCTATATTTAGATTTAAATCTGACGATTAAGTACCTAATAATAGAAAATCATTTAATTGGATTAAATGGGAGTGGATCAAGTGAATGCTACCAAAATGTTCTCTTTGGCATATGTAAAGAGTATATTTCCTGACCAAACCATTCCCCAGGGTTATGACTTTAGCTGATTCATGTTTGTTATGGTTGACGTCTGTTGATGTCAACTGGTAGTTTTGCAAACCAATTCGCTTCTCCTTGTACAACACTCAAAGAAGATAAAAAAAAAAAAGGATCCAATGCACCACTAGTTTTGTACATTTGTAGGAGAAACTATCACTTATTTCAACGCGCAAGTCGGGTTGGAGAGAAAGAGGGAAAAATAGGCGCCATAGGCCTGTGTTTGGACGAGGTTTTGCCAACCACTCTCGCTTCATCGATATGTGTCCATCATGTGAAAGCGCGTGGTCATCACACCTTAAAATTGCCTTTTGCTGTAGATCTACGAAATAGCGGTTGCAGAGCGTCATATAAAAAACAGCTCAGTGAGTGAATACAGTAACGTCTGTAACTTTTTTTTTTTTTTTTTTTTTTTTTTTTTTACATGTTCTGGTTTACGTATTGAATAGTGACATAAGAATATCTATTAGAGGATTAGAGGCCATTTGAAATAATTATAATGATGATAGTAGTGTTAATAGAAATACTAGTAATAATGATAGCAGTAGCAATAATGATGATACTAATGACAATAAGAATAATGATAATAATAATAATAATGATAAAGATATATAATGATAATGATGGTAATAATAATAGTAGTAGTAATAATAATAATGACAATAATGATAATGATGATAATAACAATAGTAATGATGATAATAATAATAAATAATAACAATAGTAATGATAATAATTATAAGGATAATGATAATAATAATTACAAGAAGCACCCAGAGAGCGCATACCTCCGCCAAAGCAATACGGTCATTGATACAAGAAAAGATTCATACGTGAAGAATTGTATCAAAATCACCTCTTGCTCAAGTACAAAGGTGACGTCCGTGTTTCCGTCTCGCAGTACTAATGAATCCTCTAAAGAAATCTTGAATCCGAATCACCACCAAAACCGGGATCGAAGTCGGGCTAAGACACCTATGGTAAAATTTTCATAAAAATATGTTACTAGCTTTTTCTAGTTACCTTGCTAACCGTCCCAGATCCTAGATCATCATCGAAATTTAATGGCTTCTGAGTTAAAGATTTCATTTAAAAAATCTATTGATAACCTTTTGAGTTATCATGCTGAACAACTAACCAACAGAGTAACCAACGCTACCAAAAATATAACCTTGGCGGAGGTAATAATGATGATAATGATAATCCTCATAATAATAATTGTAATGATAATAATAATCATAATAGTTATAATTTTTATAATAGTAATAATAATAATGAAATAGTAATCATGATAAAAATAATAACGATAAAAATGATGATGATGATGATGGATAATAACAATTATATATTGATAATAGTAATGTTGATATTACTACTACTAATTATAATAATAATGATATTGATGATAATAATAACTACAATGATGATAATGATAATAATGATAATAGTAACAACAACAATAATGATAATAATAAGGTGAAGAATGATAATGCTGATGATAATAATAACGACAATGATAAAAGTAATGATATTAACAAAAATGATAATGGTAATAACAACAATGATAAAAATTATAATCAGGTAAGACAGCATCAGTAAAAAGGTGAAGGAAAACATGTGAAGAAGAATAACGATAAGTATAATACGGTACATAAACAAAACCAACCGCGCTACTTAAACAAAACAAAAAGAAGAAACATTACCGTCTTTATGAACGGTGATGTATCCAAGAATTAAAAAACGGGGACGGCCATTTCTTGCTCTAATCTCTGTCCCTGTCTCGCGAATGCTCCAAGTAATTAGTCCTTAAGCCAGCGGAATCGCGGATTTGTGCAATTTGTCTCCGGGAGCGTGGCTATATACGGGCCGGATTCTGCGTGATGGACTGTCGTATTCTGCTGCAGTCGGGTCCTGGCGCCGTGCCGGGTTGGAGGACGGGTTGGAGGCCGGGTTGGAGGCCGGAGGACGGGTTGGAGGAGGACGGGTTGGAGGCCGGGGTTGGAGGCCGGGTTGGAGGACGGGTTGGAGGCCGGGTTGGAGGACGGGTTGGAGGCCGGGTTGGAGGACGGCCGGGTTGGAGGCCGGTTGGAGGCCGGGTTGGAGGCGGGAGGTTGGAGGACGGGTTGGAGGCCGGGTTTGGAGGACGGGTTGGAGGCCGGGTTGGGGAGGCCGGGTTGGAGGACGGTTTGGAGGCCGGGTTGGAGGCCGGGCTGGAGGACGGGTTGGAAGGCCGGGCTGGAGGACGGGTTGGAGGCCGGGTTGGACGGCCGCGGGGCGGGTGGAGGAGCGGGTTGGAAGGCCCCGGGTTGGAGGACGGGTTTGGAGAGCGGGTTAGAGTGACGGGGTTGTAGGGGGGCCGGGTTGGAGAAGGACGGTTTTGGAGCCGGGTTGCGACGGGGTTGGAGGCCGGGTTTGGAGGTCGGGTTTGGAGGCGGGTTGAGGACGGGTTGGAGACGGGTTGGAGGACGGGTTGGAAGGCGGGTTGAGGGACGGGTTGGAGGCCGGTTGGAGGCCGGGTCGGGTTTTGGAGGCCGGGTTGGAGGGTCCGGGTTGGAGGGCCGGAGGTTGGAGGCCGGGTTGGAGGACGGGTTTGGAGGGTTGGAGGCCGGTTGGAGGAACGGGTTTTGGAGGACCGGGTTGGAGGCCGAGGGACGGGTTGGAGGCCACGGGTGGAGGACGGGTTGGAGGCGCGGGCTTTGGAGGACGGTTGGAGGCCGGGTTGGGAGGAACGGGTTGGAGGCCGGGTTGGAGGTCGGGTTGGAGGACGGGTTGCAGGGTGGGCTTTTGGAGGACGGGTTGGAGGCCGGGTTGGAGGACGGGTTTGGAGGCGGCAGGGTTGGAGGCCGGGTTGGCGGGTGGAGGGGGTTGGAGGGGGGTTGGAGGACGGGTTGGAGGCCGGGTTGGAGGACGGGGGTTGGAGGGCGGGTTGGAGGAACGGGTTGGAGGCCGGGTGGAGGACGGGTTGGAGGACGGGGAAGGAGGGTTGGAGGCCGGGTTGGAGAGACGGGTTGAGGCGGGTTGGAGGCCGGGTTGGACGGCGGGGTTGAGGACGCGGGTTGCAGGCGGGTTGGAAGGACGGGTTTGGAGGCCGGGTTGGGAGGACGGGTTCGGAGTGCCGGGTTCGGAGGACACGGGTTGGAGGCGCGGGGTTTGGAGTGGTTAAGGGTTGGAAGGACGGTGTTGCCCAGGGTCGGGTTGGAGGACGGACTTGGAGGCCGGGGATATGGAGAGACGGGTTGGGAGGACGGGTTGGAAGGCGGGTTGGAGGCGCGGGTTGGAGGCCGGGTTGAGGGCCGGGTTGGAGGCCCGGGTTGGAAGGAAGGGTTGGAGGGACCGGGTTGGAAGGTCGGGGTTTGGAGGACGGGTTGGCAGGGAGCAGGGTTGGAGAGAACGGGAGTATGGAGCCGGGTTGGAGGGGAGCGGGTTGGAGGGCCGGGGTTTGGAGGACGGGTTGGAGGCGCGGTTGGAGGTCGGGATTGGAGACGGGCTCTGGCAGGGCGGGTTGGAGGCCGGGTTGGAGAGCCCGGGTTGGAGGAAAAAACGGGTTGGAAGAACGCGGGTTGGAGGACGGGTTTGGAGGCGCCGGGGTTGGGAGGAGAAAGCGGGTTGGAGGCCAGGGTTGGAGGACGGGTTTGGAGGCTCGGGTTGGAGGTCGGGTTGGAGGAAGACGGTTGCAGGGCCGGGGTTGGATGGAGCGGGTTGGAGGCCGAGGTTGGCAGGGACCGGTATTTGAGAGACGAGGTTGGAGGTCCGGGTTGGAGGACCGCGGGTGGAGGAGCAGGGGGGCGGTTGGAAAAGGAGACGGAGTTTGGAGGTACCCGGGTTGGAGGCAGGGTTGGAGGCCGCTGGAGGAGGACGGGTTGGAGGCCCCCAGGGCTGGAGACGGGTTGGAGGCCGGGTGTGGAGGATACGGGTTGGAGGACCGGGTTGGAGGAGCGGGGTTTGGCAAGGCCGGGTTGAGGAAGCGGGTTGGAGGCGCGGGTTGGAGGATGACGGGTTGGAGGCGCGGGTTGGAGGCTCGGTTGGAGGACGGGTTGCGGGCGGGTGGAGACCGCGCCGGGATTGGAGCGCCGGTTGGACGGGGAGAGAACGGGTTGGAGGGCCGCGTTGGAGACGACGGCGTTGGAGGCCGGGTTGGAGGACGGGGATTGGAGGACGATTGGAGGACGGTTGGAGGGCAGGGGTTGGAAAGAGCAGCGGGTTTGCAGGGCGGAGTTTGGTAAGGCCGCGGGTTGAGGAACGGGTTGGAGGCCGGGTTGGAAGGCCGGGTTGGAGGAAACGGGTTTGGAGGCCGCGGGT